ATGCTGCCGGCGTACACAAGCGTGCGCGCCTGCAAGAGAGGCCAAACCGAGTTTCTGAAGGAAACCTTCAGCAACTGCGTGGAGACCGGCCTGTTTGCGCTCTTCTGCTGCCTTGCACACGACCCAGCCCAGAATGAGTACGACGCAGACACCATGCTCAGTAAGACAGATGAGAATGAGAAAACAGAGGATCTGCGCAATTTCTTCCGATTGGAAAGTGTCACCCCAAAACAGTGCGCCACCAAAGAGGCAATGCAGGAGTGGAACCGCGTCGTGTCTGACCTGCAGAGCGAGCACATCGCGTATGTAAGGGACAGCCGAAACGAGGTGCGCTCCGGAATTTTCAACATGCTCTACATTGTCGCAGAAATAGCAGGCAGACCGGAAGAGGAGAAGCTGAGAATACGCAAGCTTGCGCAGATGCTAGAAGACTTCGAGATTGATGAAGACTTTGAGGACGTGATTGAAAAAACACAGGAGTACGTGGAAGAGCTTTTCGCGTTGCTCTCCGTGAATGGGCGCTTACAAGTCAAATTCTCTGACTTGATGGTCGACGCCCGAAGCGATGGGCAGAAAGACCTCTATGGAAAAATCACTCTAAAGTACACAGACAAAGACAGCGTGGTCGAGCAGGGCATATGCCTTGCCTTTAAGCCTGGGCACCTTACAGTCACCCTGTGTCCGTGGGTCTTCCTTTCTCTTACGGACGAAAAAAAAGAGGCCTTCTTTGCGACGGACAGCTGTTCAGAGCCCAAGACCTTTGCCGAGTGTCTGTTTGCCAAGTACGCGGGCGTGTGGATGGCCAGGGGCATGGATCCTCAAGGAGACAAGCTTGCCGAAGACATACGGGAGGCCACAATCTCGCTGCTCTCCCCCGGGGCCTCTGCGCACCCAAACCAGCTTTTCTTGCTCGGGAGCGCCTTGAGATACGAAAAGATACAAGACATTGCCGAGCACTTCACCCTGCATGCAGCAGCAAACGGTATCGAGCTTGCCCAGGAGCACACGGCCGTGCGCCTCCTCTCGAACCTGCTCGGCAGCCTTCCGCTGGACGACTATGCAGCGCAATACGATGCGCTGGGGAATATAGTATGCCTGGATATGCTGGGCAGGCTATTTCCAAAAATCGCCCTGTCAAAGGAAACATTTGCTATATTCTATAGAAACCCATACAGCATCCTCGACATATGGAAGTACACCGGAACAAACAGCGCGCCCGCAGGGAACGCCATCATAAAGTACTTTAGAGAGTACAAAAAGCAGGTGCGCGAGCCTCTTTTCAGGTTCTACGCTTTGGAAAACTTTCCTATCATCTCTAGAATGTTTCCCGTTTTTCTTGCAGACAAGTCAACGCGCCACATAGACGAAATTCGCGCGCTTATTATGGATGTGGATGGGAAAGCCCGGGAGAAGGCGCTGGATGCCAAGGCGCTCTTCGACCTCCTCTTGTTCCTCGCCAGCTTGAAAAACAAAGGCATTCCGCCCGATCTAATGTTTGCTCTGGGCAGCAGGGTTGTGCCAAGGTCGATCCAGGCATGCAATAGAGCCAATTGCATGATTCTTGTCAACAGCCAAACAGCTTCTGCGATTCTGGAGGCTCTGAACACCCACCAGAGCACCCTGCAGCAGATGCCCAGCGGAGAGGAGGTGTTCAAAATCGTGCAGGGCATACTCCAGCCCATCATAAATAGGTGGGCCTAGCCGCTGCGCCTATGCGCTGGATTGCCGCTTGCTTGCTCTTAGAAATATATATTCGCTGCATTTTTATACAACTTGTGCCAAAAATAGAATCGCCCGAATTCTAACTTTCCTCCCGGCCCTGCAAGCAAAAATAAAACTTCTCTAGACTAGATTTCAGCCTGCGGCCTCTTCTATGCGGCCCGCCTCTCTCCATGCCAGACACCTGGTTGCAACACTTGAAGTGCTAGTGAAAAGTTGTCTTTTGTTTTTTCGGCCTTCTTAAACACTTATTCTTGCATTTAATTTGCCGTACTCTTGCATGGCCTCTGCCAAGCCAGCATAAGCAGCAACCAGCCACCCATAACTGTGCTGTCAGCAAGCAGCACACCCGATCCACCTCCAGCTTGTTGTTGGCCTGGAGGCCGCTAGCAGGATGAAGGAGTGCCAACAAGAACGCTTCTGGCACAGCCACAGACATCTTCCCAAACAACAAAAGAATGAATGAACCAACGGAGAAACGAAAAAGAAAAAAAGACTTACTTACACTTGGAAGGCCCGAGACTTCTTCTCCTGGAGCTGCTCGCGCCCAAGCAAGCCTTGCCAGCTCTGCACACGTTTCCTGCAACTCGCCCAGCCCCACGCACGCATCTGTCTTATGTGTCCCTGCCAAAAGCTGCGCATGCTCTCTCTTGGCAGCACCCCGCACCTCCGCACGCTGCCAGCTCCACCTCTAGAGCCGCCCGCCCCTTTCTCGCGCCACACACCCGCCTTTCTATTGCAGGCCGTTTGGAGCGGCCATCTAAACAAAATAGACTTGGAAATCAAAATGATCTGTATGCTGGAATGGATATTTAGTATTTGTAAAGAGAAAAACAAAAACGCATGAATCCACATATGCGCATCGCCCTCGCACTATTCCTGGCGCTTTTCGGGATAGCCGGAATGGCCGCAGGCCTCCGTGCATGCTTGCACCCCTTCAAGTCGGCCGAGGTGTTTACGTCTGATAAGCATCGCTGCATCACAGAGAAGGGCGCGCCAGAGGCGCACTTAAAGGTTTACACGTGCGAGCACATGTATGCCTCTGGCCCTCTTATGAGCCAAACTATACACGTAACGCTCTGGCCCACATTTGCAAACAGGAGCTGCCTGGAAAACAGCATGTCCTCAGACATGTATATTAACTTTGACAAATTATACGGCACTGAACAGACATCCATCCTCACAAACGAGCAGGTGCGCGGCCCGCACACAGCAGCCTCAGAAAGAAGCTACAGCTACATGCACCTTTTGAATCTTTTAAGCGGCGAAGACGACGAAAAGCACAAAAAACGCGACTCTTTCGCATTCAGCTTTCTACGCGGCGAGGCCGATAGGTGTGCGCGCGAACTACGGGATTGCCACGGCATGAAGGAAGGCATAGAATCACTCACGAAGTACTGCGCCCTAGGCCACAGCCCTGAAAACGACGACTTGCGCAAACAGGTCGTAATGGCCCCTATAGCGGCATACAGCGTTGCGAGAAGCTCCCTAATCGAACGCATGTACTTTACATACATAACATTCCAACATGTGCACCGCACCCTTGACTTTGCCCACGCCAAGCCCGGCACCCGCCACAGAGTCGCTGCGTCCCATTTGAGAGCAGAAATATACGCACTGCTAGACGAGTTCGACTTTGTAGACAGAATCACAGCGGCGGCGCGCGCTTCTTTTGATAGGATAAAGGAAAAAGTGCAGGGAGCAGACAGCCCGCGCATGCTTGAGTGCAATAACGCTAAATTTATCCTCCCTGCCCACTCTCTCGCGAGCCATGTAAAGAATGGCGAGGTCGTGAAATTTTACCCCTCCTCAGAGCACCCCGGCCCCAAGACAGAGGACTTGCTGAAAACCCTCACGGAAAAACAAATGGTGCCAAGCATCAACAAGGCCTGGGAAAACCCAAAATTGATGCACGCCGACCTGCAGTACCTGGGTGCGCTATTTGAACTGGTAAAGCACCACTTGAAAGTGAACGAGATATGCGTGGAGCAAACCATGGACTGCCTCACATCGATAGACGTAAGCAGCACCAAGCCGCTTTTAGAGCCTATTGCTGGCGTTATAGAAGAATATATAGGAAAAAAA